TGACAAGGAGTCATTAATTTTTATTCTAGCAGATGGGTGGTGGTACAACAGGCGAACCCAACCGCAGAATTTGGGACCAAGCCCGAATGCAGCTAGGACCGCCCAGAGATATCGCCATTCCACGCTGTCAAACGCCTTGGCGATATCCAGGGCTAGGAGCGCCCTATTACCTGTGTTATCGATAGGAAGCTGCATGTTCAAGAACACTCTGCGTATGTTTATAGCGGTGGACTTATGAGGGATAAACCCGGACTGATCCGAGTGCACCACCGAGGCGATTTTTTTGGACAATCTAGTAGCGAGGACCTTAGCCAGGATTTTAACGTCAGCATTCAAAAGAGAGATGGGTCGGTATGATTCTGGCAGGAGCAAATTGAGAAATCATTTTCACACATGGATTGGCCACCACAGACTCCAGACCTTAACCCCATTGAGACTTTAGGATGTGCTGGACAAGACTTTATGTGAGTGAGTGACCTTTTTTGGCCAAGCAGAGTATGTATACCTCAAATGTGTATTTAGCTGTTTGCCTGATATTCAGTTTTAACTGACATTTGTGAGAGTCCTAAAGCAGTGTAGCTAAGAATAACACCTCACCTACTGCGCAAGCTAATTTTAGTAAAGAATGAGGAAGCAACCACATTACTCTGAGCAGGTCTTCCTTTTGTTTGTCATAAATTGACTTTAACAAGGCTTTCTGATGGGTGAAATTTATGAATGTGTTTGCAGCAAAGTGTTCTAGTCACAAAGACCAAACTGTCACGCTAACTAACCACAAAGTTTTATCTTTTATTATGTGTTTTTGGGACCTATTCATATTTGCGACTCACGCACATGTTTTGCAACATTTCCCATGATATTTCATCTAGCATTTGGAACATTAAAAGACCTCCAAACTGTGGCACATGCTAGAAGTCCTCCTGAGCACTTCTTAAAGTAATGCAAAGATAGTTCAGCTTCATACCTTCATGTCAGCTAAGCACTTCAGGGCTATTTAGCTGTCCTCCAGGAGGTTGGCAACAATTGTGAGATCATTCTCCTGATAGAGGCATTTAGAAATGAAATATCAACTAGGATAAAAATTCTATAGAAAAAGCGGCACACTGCCAATCTTCAACCAGTGCTTATTTATTTGTAAAACCCAGTCATCTCCAAACGTATGATCCCTGCCTGCTGGTCACTCAACTCCAACACGTTTCACCCAATTGGGCTTAGTCATGGAGTAGCGAGTGCTCATGGGAAGGAATCTTTTGTCCAGTGTAATAATCACCCACCTTATTATTCTGCCACTAAGGCGCCCATCTAAACGAGGCCTAATTGGTTTTTTACATTTCATTATACCAACTTTACATAGCTGCACCAACGCCATGGGGTTTAGGCCTCATTCACACTGCCGCGCATATAGTACTATATGCAACATATGCAAATAAATGGCTCCATACACATAGCTGCGTATGAAGCCGTATATTTGCATATCGCAAAAACAGAATGGAACAAAGATGCGTCCGGGCAGCGTATTTCTGCGTATTTACGCGCATATACGCGTGTTTGCGCGCATGTACGCGCGTACAGTTCATTGACATTTCTATTACAAATGATGCATTGTGGTATTGCAAATAGTGCACGCATATACGTCCATACGCTCGTATATACGCGCGTATATACACATTATACACGCTCGTATATACACATTATACAATTTTTCTCTTGCGTTGTGTGTGAATGAGGCCTTAGATGGGGATGTGGGCTGCAATTATTATTAAAGCCACTGTTCTGGATTTCAGAGGCAGTGGACGGAGCTAACAATTTCCTCAGAAGAGTTACAGCTTGAGTGGCCTTTTCCTCTCCTCTCTCCTACAGGCATCAGTGGGCTATTTAGCCTGTGGACAGCTGCCACATTCCTTACATTGCTGGCAGCAAAAGGGTTAAAGGCATTAAACTAAATCTGAAGCCAAAACTTTTTTTTTATTTTGTATAATTAGGGGAGGGGTAATATCAGTTTGTCTTTTTCTGCCATTTGTGAGTTTTTAGTAAAATTTTACTTCCTGTCCTGTAAACCCAACAGGAAGTGAGTGGATATCTTTCCAATGTGAGCAATCCACTTTTAGTCTGCATTCACACCTGGTGCGACAGATGCGGCAAAATAAGTTCATGTCGTTTTTTGCGCAAGTTTTCATGCATTCAGAGCAAAAGCGCACTAATTCCTGGCCGCATTTTTGGTGTCATTAGAAATCAATGGCAATGCAAGCACATTGCACATTTTTCTGCGTTTTCGTGAAAGCGTGCGCATTAATGCAATGTGCAGGTGTGAATCGCATTAATGGGACGTGTCCCTCTTGAAAAAATTCCCCTCCATTCCCGTTCAGTTGCCAACTGTAAATTTTGGAAGTACCCTCCCTTTTAATTTCTGGTGAGATTGGTGGTCAGGACAATTATACAGATTGACTCTCCATAATAGGGGCACAGACAGCAATACAAATCTGATGGTTGTTCGAACCCCTTACCACTCTATCCAAAACTAAAAAAAAGATGTTTTGCCTTTAGTTTTAGTTGAAGAGTTTTCAAAAGTGCTCTTATGCATTCATTTCTAGCAGATTAGTGATGAGGGAGTGGACTATAGAACACGAATATAGAGCTTCCTGTGCCCGGTAGCAAGTTTTGCAAGCCAGAGACCACTTGAGCATTTTCCAGATCTTGGCCTGGCTAGTAGCCAGCCTGCTTTGGTGACAAAATAATTGTCAGAGGAAAAGGGCAGTGTTACCGAGCCATTGTATGCTAGTGCAGTTGTAGTGTTCTGTTTCCTTTTTAAATGTCAGGCCAACTCCTTTAACTACCTCAGTACTGGCATGTTAAACCCTCTTTATTGCCAGGCCATTTTTCAGTATTCAGTGCTGTGAAAGTTTGACAGAAAATGACTCTGTCGCACAACACTGTAAGCAAATTCAGTTTATATAATTTATTTATATACAAAATACATATAGAGCTTTCTTTTGGGGGTATATAATAACAACCACTTCTTCTTTTTTTTTACCTTTTTATAAACAATTGGTGTACCTTTTTTGTTTATAAATCATATATATAAAAAAAAAAATTCAGCACAGTGCGAAACCCCCCTAAATGACCGCTATTTGCAAAGTAGACACTATAAGGCAGGGCTCAAAATTTCAAGTCCTGACTTACTAGCCAGGCCTTAAGAGTTACTAGCCACCAGTTGCCCCACCTAACCCTTATCCTGCCCCGGCCTCAACTCTGCCCCTAAACACACCCTCTTAAATAATCTTATGATAATTTTTATCTTATGATAGTTGCCGCTTGTAAACGGCAGATTAGGGATTCCTGCTGCAGGAAAACGCAGGTTCCTGACACAGGAATCTCTAATCACACCTGAAATATACTGTAGGTGTGAAAGGGGCCTAAAATAGACATACACTAAAGGTGCCCATACACCTGCTGATTATCGGACGATAATCGCGGGTGATCCCGCGATCGTACGATAGTCGGCAGGTGTATGGGCAGCGTGCCACCGCTTCTACTGTAAGGTCGTACGACTTTCGTCTTCCAAGCATGCTTGAAAACCTGCCGAAAATCTTACGATTTTTGGCAGGTTGGTGGAGTGGTCGGAAGACAATGCCGCACGGGCTGGTCAGCACTGCAATCATGGGAACCCTAGGTTATCTTGGGGTGATTAGTGAGATCTGCTGCAGACCTCACTAATCACCCCCAGATAACCATGGATCGATCCTTTCTTTCGGCCGGAGCACAGAACTGTCAGAGCTCCGACCCAAGGAAGCCGGAGCTGCTCTGCGTCTGCATCCGACACAGATGCAGACCGTGGGGCTGCTCCCGCAAGTCAGGTACGCGGTCTGTGACCGTGTGCTTGACATGTCAGCTGGCTGCGGACTGGTACTTGGAGACCCAAATTTCAGGCGAGTGGAAATTTTGAGCCCTGCTATAAGGTAATGTGATCTTATGCCGGAGTTTTTGGGAAATGACATCCTGGTATTGAGGGGTTTAAAACATGGAGCTTGGCAATGGTGTGCTAGATACAATAAATATACAGGTAATACACAGTGGAAGGATGGAGATGAAGGGGTTAATGTACAGGTAATACACAGTGGAAGGATGGAGATGAAGGGGTTAATGTACAGATGTGCAGGATAAGGGAGCTGAAGGGGTTAATACACACATCAAGAATGGAGCTAACATATAAAGGAGAGGAAGGGTGACAGAAAATTAAGTTTTAAATAACTTTTAAAGCTTTCAGTTACTGCTGCAGCTTGCTTTCACTAGGAAGTAATAAATGGATTAGTTATCCATCTATTACTTCCTGTACTTTCCTCTGCCTCTCCTGTAAGAGGAAGGGGAGGGCTTGGCACTGTAACATATAATCAGCGATCATAGGGCACAGTGCTGGTCTGATCACTTCTGTGCCTGAAGCCACTGTTATCTGCTGTTGAACTGCTTTTGCATGAAGGAGCTGCGGGCCCTCTGCTTCCTCCCGGGGCCCCCCGAAAAGGCGGAACTGCTCGGCTAACGAAGGGAAGGAGGAGTCCGGTGACGTCACGGACATCGACCTCACCGGACTCCCCCCCCCCCCTTCCCTACGTTAGCCTATGGAGCCACTTGGGGAAGGGGGAGGAGTCCGGTGATGTCAATGTCCGTGACGTCACCCGATCTCCGGCGGAGAGGTGAGTACCGATCAAAAAAATTAACGATTAATCGAGGGATTAATCGTTCATTTCCGCAGCCCTAATATATATATACAGGTACGTAGATATACAGACTGGCTGTATATCTACAGTGGCTGGTCCACAGGTGGCTAATAAGTTTTGAGAAGACTTTCAGATTCCGGTACAAACCAGGTACATTTCACATGGCTTTTAAATATTCATCTATTGTTTTAAACCTACTTTCTTTTTTTTTTCTTAACTCTATAGGTTGAATTCGATGGACATTTTAAACCTGACCAACTAACTATATACTTTTCCTTTTTCTTCTAGAAACACCACAAGTCTAAAGACAATCTGAAAATGTCTGAAATCCTACATGAATTATTACTTGCTTCTGAGAAAGCTGCATGTATCGCTCGTGCCTGCCGCGAAGAGGAAACTCTTTTTCAGCTATTAATTGAAGAAAAAAAAGAGGATGAGAAGAATAAAAAATTTCTCACAGACTTTAAAACACTAGCTGATGTATTGGTCCAGGAAGTCATAAAATATGATCTTGGCAAAAAGGTAAGGGACAACCAATACTATGCTGGTCTATGACTCAATAATAACCCAAAAAGGGAGATCAAGCCCTCATTCACTTCTAGGATGTAGGTGTGTTTTAGGGATTCCTGCATGAGGAACTTGTGATTTACTGCAAGCAGCAGCTGTCACCCATTCAAGTTAATGATTGATGCGTCCAGGGATAGTGATTGATTCCTAACCGCATATATTCGTATCACATATGATTGCATGCAGTGTGCCAGCGTTCTGCCGCTTTCAAATGCAGCGGCTGTCACCTGATCATTAACTTGAATGAGTGACAGCTGCCACTTGTAAATGGTAGATTTGGGATTCCTGCTGCAGGAGGTCGCAAGTTCCTGACACTGGAATCCCTAAATGCGCCTACATTGTAAGTGTGCCTGAGGGCTTAGAAAAGTAAATGTAGTGTGCTGTGCTTTGTCTCCAGCCTCGTAGTGCTATCTCTATGGTATTCCCAGAAGGTACATCCAACTTAACAGTAGCTCCAGGTTTCTGAGGTATCCCTACTGACCCGTATGGGACTTTGCATACCTTCCTGTTTTTTTTTTTTCTTGGTGCTTTTACAGTAGTTGTACACCAGCTTCTGTAAAATACTGTTATACATATAGTGGGGGTAAGAGGAGAACAAGGAGATAGTAGTCCTGCAGGTTAAAGGGAAATTCTAGCTTTTGGAAAAAAAAAATTACATGCATAAAAGAAAACATTTGCATTTATTGTTTTTTGTGCATAGGAGTCAGTAAACCATTGCGACCTCGACATGGGTGCAATGCTCTGGATACTGCAAACTGTTGCTTCTTGTCCATGTCTATACCGAGCTATGGACATTCAGTAACATGGACGGGAGAAAGAGTCAATGGACTACAGGTGCGGGGACATCACTCAATTTGTATTCCATTTAGAACTGCTAGCCCCTCTGCCATGGTGGCTAATGGGACTTGTAGATTCTACATTCACAGATCTTGTCAATGGTAGACTTTTATTTACATTTAAAGAGGACCTTTACTTTGGAAGCTGTGCCCAAAAAGGCAAGTGGGAAGTAAAAGGCTTTTCCCCAGTATTGCCTGTATGCTCGCTGTATCTGATCTTTTTCCTATACTTAAATTAACATTTTCCGCACTCTGTGTGAAGGTGGCCATCTTGGTAGAAGAACTAGGGTTTTGCTTCCTTGTGACTTTTTCCAAAGATTATTGTGGTAATATATAAGAAGCAGCAGGTAAGGGGTAGAATGCACAAATTCAGCGAATAAATGAAGCAGCGGCAGGTAGATTCTTGCACTGTAGGCCCTCTGTTACAGCTTCCTATTCAGCAAACCCTCAAGAGAACAGTGAGACTAAAAGTCACAGGCACTATGCCCTAGATGATCTGACACTGCAGATATACAGCTATGAGCAGGGCCGTCTCTTTAATGAGGCAGCCTGAGGCTGTGGGTCACATGGAGGGGGTGGCAGGCAGACCGTCAAGGCCACTCTGCAGCACAAGGTTTGCAGTGTGCCTATCACCCCCTTTCTGGCCAGAGCATCCTAGGTTGCAAAGGTGGGGAAATGTGTAAGGGCCATACATATCTCCCTGCCCAGTTCTTGGCAACCTGGGATGCTGTGGCTGGCGTTCCGCCCAGCTCCTGGCAATCAGTGACATTACTGGTTGCCAGGAGCTGGTCATGACGCCGGCCACAGTGTCCCAGGTGGGGAAATGCAGACCCTGCAGAGGGTAGTGTCGCCACCTCCGGCTGCTCTGATTCCGTCCAATACTCCCCCAGGCAGAAAAAAGGCTAAGGACACCACTGCTACCAACAGATGTGCCTAGGCACAGGAATGGCAATGTTATTTTTCAGGAGTATTTCAAGATAAGGGTACAATTTTCAGGGTACGGGTTAAGGACAAGTAACATTTCTGAATGAACACTTTTCCAGTTCAGGTTCACTTTAACAGTGGAGCAAGGAAGAAAGGTGACTGGCCTTTTGTGATATGCTGAGGCCCAGGCATCTGTTACCAAAAACTTCATTTTGCGTGCGTTTAATTTCTCTCTACTGACTATCCATTCTCTTCTGTGTATTGGCATAGTGTTGGGCTTGCTAATACCTTGTTTTATATATATCATGCTGAATATTCGTGCTTTAGTTTCCAGGTTTTGAGAAAAACGTTAAAGGAGAAGAATCTAATGAATTTACAAATGAACTTGGTAAGTAGAAGAAAAATGCTTGTTTGTTATGCTGCAAACTATTTGTCCTGAGGACACCAGAATCAATTTTACAGTTTCAAGAAACAGAATGCTGTACAATACATTTTTAATTGTAAGACACAAATATAAACATATAGGATCTACTGAGTCTAGCTTTAAAAAAGAACTCTGGGTACATTTTTTTTAATAACCCTTGCAGTGTGTGTGAGTTCAACTGTAAGGGTTGAGTGTTCATTTTTTTCTAGGGAGGAAAATAACAAAGTTATACTCATGCGATCCTCAGAGCCAGCTTGCTCTTAGACCAGTACCTGGAGTCTCTCTCCCCCTCCTCTGTAGTGGTCTAAGGTCTGTGAGTCATCACGTTCTATACACAGTTTATAGGACGTCAGGACGCAGAGAGGCATACCATCGCTGCAGTGGAGGAGGAGACAGACTGGAGGGAGCACTGTCACAGCCGGCTGACTCTGAGGATCGGGTGAGTATATCTTGTTATCTTTTGTTATTTTCCGTTCTAAACCAAAACAAGCACTTAACCCTTGCAGTGAGAGGGTAGTCCCACTGCAAGGGTTAATGGAACATTTCTGCTTTAACCCCTTCCCAAACATCCCTGGATGTTAACGTCCTCCCAGCAAGTTGTTCCTATGCCTGGAGAGCGTTGATGAATGTCCTTGTTTCTGTGCAGCTCTACACTCTGGAGATTGCTCTGGGGGGAAGTTTTGTAGTGGGAACCAGAGATGTGATCAGCCACCACTCTGAGTGATTATTGATCAAGCAATCACCATAATAACCCTTTCATGGCACTACTGTAGCTGTATTACAGTAGGGCGGTGAAAGGATAAAGACTATTGCAGCCACTATTGCAGATGGAGGTTTGTTTTCTATTAATCTTCCCTTTGCCAACTTTAATATAAAAGTGATTTGATGGCTGTACAGCTGTCCATTTACTTTAAAAGATGCAGCATTCCACCTCCTTTCTGGTCCTCGGGCTCACTTTGCTTCTTTGTGAGTTTGAGACCAGTACCATGGTGGCAGCAACATTAGCGATAAACTGTTTAAAATTAACTCCATTACAAAAACTAGAGGCCACCACCTAAAATTGGTGGAAAAAAAATTCCAGCACAAGGGGCGAAGGGGGTTCTTCACAGTAAGATCAGTTAGGGTCTGGAACTCACTGCCACAGACAGTGATTTCAGCAAATAATGTGGAATTGTTCAAGAAACTTTTGGACGATTTCTTAAGGGACCGTAATATACAGGGGTACGGGTACTCCTAGAATGAGATCCTAATAGGTTGGACTTGATGGACTAATGTCTTTATTCAACCTCAAATACTATGTAACTATGAATGTCCTGGATGGCTCAGGGACTTCAGGATGGAGTGTGGATTGCAGGAAATCAGAAATGACCGGATCCAACCTCCTCCTGCTAAAATTGAGCACTTCCAGGTTCAGATCTTAGATTTCACATCTTAGCTGGTACTAGCCAGGCATACACTGAGTGGCCAGATTATTATGACCACCCCATCAGTACTTCGTTGGGCCACGAGATGACTCCACGAGATGACTTTGTTGGGCCGCCTCGTGACTCCACGAGATGTTTAAAGGTGATGCGAGGAATCTGACACTGCACTGTTGCCCTTCTGTTGTCTTGTACCAGTCTTGCCACTCTCCGTTCTGCCCTAACATTGACTAGTCGCTGACGGCCACAATTCTCACGTTCAGACCCAGATTTTCGGCTGACAGTCCAGTCTTTAAACACTTTAACAACAGCTGCTCTTGAACATTAAACGAATTCTGCTGTTTTGCTGATACTCGCTCCATGGCTCCGAGCGGCAACAATCATCCCACGCTCAAAGGCTGTTAAATCGCGTTGTTTACCCATATCTTCAGAAACAAATCACTTCTACTGTCGTGGTAAACAACCTGCTTCCCTATTTATAATGGCCTGGCCCTATAGCAACTTCAGCGCAAAATTATAGCTAATTATAGCTAATTTGCCTACAAACGTCAGGTGGTCATAATAATCTGGCCACTCAGTGTACAGTACATGCAGATCAAGGCTCTCTGTTCCTGATCTACTGGGAAATACTGTCATTGTACTGAAATATGCCTAATATCTAGATATCTAAATAATGTACACTTGTTTATCATCCATATAAAGCTGAAATATGTATGGAACCCCACATATATTTGGGGTCCTTGTACTTGGAATTATTGGAATAAATAGGAAAAAATAAGTTAGTGAAAATATGTGGGGTAATATTAGTTATTCACAAGATGTAACTGGTGTATTTCTCTGCTTAATATAAAATTTGGGGTATTATTAAAAACAAATTCCCATATCTATGTGTGTGTGGGGTGTGAACAGAACTGCCACCAATGCAAAACAAAAGGGCTTAAGTAACACTGCCAATGGCCACAAATGCGGGGGGTGGGGTTTAGTAAACTGACTACTGATGAAATGGCATAACACTGACCACCAATTGGTGGATGTTCTTATTGACACCAATGCTAGGGTTATTATTGCGGTCACTGTCACCAATGCTGGGGGCATATTATTGCAATCACTGGCACCAATGCTCGGGGTTTTTACTATGGCCTCTGATACCAATACTTGGGTTATTATTGCTTCCACTGCCACCAATGCTGGGGGTTATTATTGTGGCCACTGACACCAATGCTGGGGGTTATTGTTGCCTCCACTGACATCACGGCTGGGGGTTGTTATTGCATCCATTGAAACTAATGCTGGGGATTTTTATTGCATCCGCTGATACCCTTGCAGGGGGTTACAATTGTGGCCACTGACACTAATGCTGGGAGTTACTATTGCTGCCACTGACACCAATGACGGGGTTTGTTTTACTTCATCATTCTCTTCAGTGTGCGCTGTGGTTAAAAAAAATATAGCAGAATTGAAATGAAAGGGCTACCTAATTTGATGCAATGCACTTCAATACATGAAAAGGATTTTTTGTAAAAAGTAAAAATGTTTAAAAAGTATTTTAACTTGAAAAAATGTAAAGGGGATACAATAAAAAAACATCCACAGCTGGGCCTTTTCCTGGTTAAATGATGCCCAGCATCATTTGGCCCACTTCCTGTGAATCAAGGGCGTCAACAACCTGTCCGATAGGCTCAAAGAAAAATTGAGAACTGCACCACATTCACCAGCCAGTCAAGGAAAAAGACCAATGTTGTCACGCGACCGGCCGAAGAAGGAAGGGGAGAATAACTGGACGTATGCAAAACTTTGAGGGGTGCCCCAGTGGTGGGAACTGGACTTAACCCAAAACCCTTTTAGGAACCCGAATTTATTTTTCCCAATAATTCATTTATTTTCTGCTGCGATATAACTAGTTTACTATCAAGGTGTAGAAATTATAGTCATCACTGTCAAAAGTTTACCTTTTCTGAAGTCAGAAATAAGCAATCAAATATTTTATTTGATGTTTATTTCCATGTAACACCCTGAATAAACACTGATCTATAGGAATGCTGTAAATTGCATTTATATTTACATCAACATGCTTCCTTGTTACAGGAGAGAAAATTATAGTAAAAGTGTGCCCAACAGAGGAAGAAACTGCCAGACTATTGCAGAAAGTGCTGGACAACAATGAGCCCGCAGCCAAAAAATTGGCCCAGGCTGTTCATCAGAAACTTGTCGTAACTGACCAGAATTTAGATGCCATTAAAGTGAACATTCCTCTGACTGAGCTTGCTGTGTGGGTGGATCCCATTGGTGAGTAATGCATATCGAATTTAAAGCAGAAGTCTGGGCAACATTTTTATTAACCATTGCACTACTCGTTTGTGTCTAGGGACTGAAATAAAAAGAGCCGGACGTCTGTGACGGCGCTCCCTCCAGCCTGTCTCCTCTTCTACTGCAGAGATGGTATGTCCTTCCACATCCTCAAATCCTATACACAGTGTATTGGATGTGATGACTCAAGGATCTCTGGCTGCTGCAGTGGAGGGGGAGCTCAGATGGGAGGACCGGCTCCACTGATCAGGTGAGTATAACTTTGATTATTTTTGAACCTAGACACAAATGAGCAGTTAAAGGAGAACTATGAGGCGAGTGCTTTTCACTCACCTCATAGTTCTAGCCGACCTGTGACAATGAGACTGTCACAGGTCGGCTCAGTAGATCGGGAAGTAAGCGAACACATACCGGGTTCGCTCACCTCTCGATCCTGTCACGGCCCTCTGCCGTGACAGGGGAGGGGCTGGATTCCCCCCTCCGTGCACCGATCCTCCAGCGCTGACTGGCAGAACGGACGGGGGAGGGGCGGGCACAGCTGTCACTCGCGCAGCTGGATGGATCCAGACATAATTGTCGGGATCCGCTTCAGCGGCGGCGTCTCAATATACCGCAAGCAGCAGCTCGCGGTATACTGCGGCATCTCAGTATACCGCGAGTTGTAGCATGCGGTATACTGAGCTTACGGTGACGGGAGGATGCTAGTTTGTGTCCTCCTGTTACCCTAAGGAGAACTATGGGGAAAAGCCCTAACCCCATAGTGCTCCTTTAGCTCCTCTTGCAGTGCGGGGGTGACCCCACTGCAAGGGTTAATAATGTTGCCTGTAGTTCTATCATTGTTGTATTGTCCTGTATACATAGGGGTGGATTTGGAAATGGAGAAAATAATATTTACTTAGCAAAGTAAATGTTTAGGTACCTTTTTAGTAAATAGATTGAAGCGGTTTTCATGTCCAAATCCCAGTCACCCACGGAGAAATGTTAAACACGATTTATTTTTGCACATGTTATTTTATCATGTTTAGAACCAAATTTCCGTTATTTGTGCCCAAGGCTAATTTCTATGTAAGGTTCTTATAATGATACATCTTTATCAGCACCCTGAATATACTTTAGGTCATAGAACATACTGTATATTATGAACATGCTATTTTTTTATATATAAAACTTTTTTTAAATGCTTTTTTAACAGGATCAGCAGATATCACTCCAACTAAAGGGATTTACCCGAAGGGTCTCCAGTGTGTCACTGTGCTAATAGGAGTATACCATATTGAAACAGGACTTCCAGTAATGGGTGTTGTTAATCAACCGTTTGCAATAAAAGACCCTACAACAAACAGGTAAGAGAGCAGTATTTTATTTTCAGTCGGCCGTTTTTATTTTTTCTAATAATTTAAGTTTATTAAGGAAAAAAGAAAAATATGTTTACTGGCTTGTTAACTTCTCTGGGCAAACTGCTGTCTGGTTGATTCATCAAGTACTGCCAATTGGTAGCATTAAGCTGACCTTAAAAGAGAACTATGGGGTCAGTGTTTTTTCCCTATAGTTCTCTTTATGGTCACGGGAGGACATATACTAACATCCTCCCTTGACCCAAAGATCAGAATATCTAAAGCTATTGCCCGCGATATACAGAGAGCGCCGAAGCTGGGACAAATCCCGACAATAGTGTCTGGATCCACCCAGCTGCGTGAGTGACAGCGGGCTCTGCCTATCTATTCTGCCCACTTCCCAATCAATAGAGCTTCTTTGTTACTGGTCGGCTCTAACTATGAGGATGAGTGGAAATCACTCACCTCATAGTTCTCCTTTAAATTAATGTTTGGCCAGACTGTAAATATTTACAGATTCTTAACAAGCAGTAAATGAGCTTTAAAGGAGAACTATGGTGTAAGTGTTTTTCCCCATAGTTCTCCTCACGGTCACGGGAGGACATATACTAGCGTCCTCACGTGACCCAAAGCTCAGTATACCGCAAGCTGTATACTGAGAGCGCCGCAGCCGGGACGGATCCTGACATTACTGTCGAGATCCACCCAGCTGTGTGATTGACAGTTGGCTCTGCCTATCTAGAGGCAGAGCCAGCTGTACCCTCCCCCGTTCGTTTCTCCAGTCAGCGATGGAGGATCGGAGCGGGGAGGGGTGGGAATCCCTGCGGGGAGCCGTGAGTGACAGTCACGGCTCTCTGCAGGGACAGGATTGAGAAGTGAGCGAGCGACGGTATGTGTTCGCTCACCTCCCGATCTATTGAGCCGCTGTGACAGTCTCATTGTCACACGTCGGCTCGAACTATGCGGTTGAGTGAAAATCACTCCCCTCATAGTTCTCCTTTAATCAGCGCCATGCTTGAATGCCTTCTAATATATCTGCCATTGGAACAATTGGACATTGTTTAATCTATTTGTGTTTCTAGGTGGAAAAGCCAATGGTATTGGGGTTTGTCCTACAAGGACACAAACATCTGCTCAGTACAAGCATCTGCCATCAATGGACAAACTAGCAGTAAATTAGAATGTGGCTTTCCAGCTGATGCTGAATGTGAGAAGAAATCATATGGAGTGATAACAAGCTCAGCAGAAACAGGAGACATTCTCAGTTCTCTCACCGCTGTGTGTGGAGAAAATCTGTATTTTGCTGCTGGAGCAGGCTACAAAAGTCTTTGTGTGATTCAAGGCCTTGTAGATTTTTATGTGTTTTCTGAGGACACTACATTTAAATGGGACAGCTGTGCTCCCCATGCTATTCTGAAATCACTGGGAGGTGGAATGTTGGATCTTTCAGAGTGTTTGAAGACTGTAAAGCAGAAGAAAAAGCTTCTTGACAGGCCAGATCTCTTATACAATTCAGAAATACAAGGAGCAGTAGGAGCAGACAAGTGGGCTAATAAAGGAGGACTTGTGGCTTATAGATCGGAAGAACACCTGGAATGGTTTTTAGACCTCTTTGTGCAGCATTTGCAATTACAAAATGAATTACATCAATAATATGTCTTTTTCCTATATTATATTTTTAGGCTGTATTTTTTTATTATATTCATTCAATATACTCCTATATTCTTTTATTACTCATATATTATATAGAAGAATGAGTGATATAATATAACTGACCTTTTACAGAGAGGTCATGAACAGGAACTCCATTTAACTCGAAGTCCCTAATTTATCAAGCGGCAATTGCACTTAAAGTGATATTACATTTTGTTTAGGATATATTTAACATGCTGAGAAAATCGCATACAATGGATGCAGCTATGAAGTTTTCATGTTGAATTAGCTGGGCCTCTAAAGGCCGTTGCTGATATCTGCTTCTAGGGTGGCTCCTTTACCTAGCAGTGTGCTGCTTGATCCACCATTTTTTGTGCGCTCCTGTGATCGGCATACAGGGTGATGCATTGACACTGCCTGCTGTAACAGTAGAGCTGAATGACATAACATTTTATTCTAGCCAAATATTTTGCTTTGGAAAGTGGTGAAGGTTTTTAATGTGTCATTTTTTTGATGTCTCTGTCTGTAAAATAAGACTGTATCAGACATCCCAACTTTCCTGGAGGCTCGGGGAGTCTCCCACTATGAGATAGCGATCGAGCAGAGTAAACCTTTCCCTGCTCCTGTTTTTTTTTCTGACATCGGAGCCGCCGGCTGCCGTCAGTCAGAAAAAAAAGAGCGCCGCAGCCGGGACGGATCCTGACATTACTGTCGAGATCCACCCAGCTGTGTGATTGACAGTTGGCTCTGCCTATCTAGAGGCAGAGCCAGCTGTACCCTCCCCCGTTCGTTTCTCCAGTCAGCGATGGAGGATCGGAGCGGGGAGGGGTGGGAATCCCTGCGGGGAGCCGTGAGTGACAGTCACGGCTCTCTGCAGGGACAGGATTGAGAAGTGAGCGAGCGACGGTATGTGTTCGCTCACCTCCCGATCTATTGAGCCGCTGTGACAGTCTCATTGTCACACGTCGGCTCGAACTATGCGGTTGAGTGAAAATCACTCCCCTCATAGTTCTCCTTTAATCAGCGCCATGCTTGAATGCCTTCTAATATATCTGCCATTGGAACAATTGGACATTGTTTAATCTATTTGTGTTTCTAGGTGGAAAAGCCAATGGTATTGGGGTTTGTCCTACAAGGACACAAACATCTGCTCAGTACAAGCATCTGCCATCAATGGACAAACTAGCAGTAAATTAGAATGTGGCTTTCCAGCTGATGCTGAATGTGAGAAGAAATCATATGGAGTGATAACAAGCTCAGCAGAAACAGGAGACATTCTCAGTTCTCTCACCGCTGTGTGTGGAGAAAATCTGTATTTTGCTGCTGGAGCAGGCTACAAAAGTCTTTGTGTGATTCAAGGCCTTGTAGATTTTTATGTGTTTTCTGAGGACACTACATTTAAATGGGACAGCTGTGCTCCCCATGCTATTCTGAAATCACTGGGAGGTGGAATGTTGGATCTTTCAGAGTGTTTGAAGACTGTAAAGCAGAAGAAAAAGCTTCTTGACAGGCCAGATCTCTTATACAATTCAGAAATACAAGGAGCAGTAGGAGCAGACAAGTGGGCTAATAAAGGAGGACTTGTGGCTTATAGATCGGAAGAACACCTGGAATGGTTTTTAGACCTCTTTGTGCAGCATTTGCAATTACAAAATGAATTACATCAATAATATGTCTTTTTCCTATATTATATTTTTAGGCTGTATTTTTTTATTATATTCATTCAATATACTCCTATATTCTTTTATTACTCATATATTATATAGAAGAATGAGTGATATAATATAACTGACCTTTTACAGAGAGGTCATGAACAGGAACTCCATTTAACTCGAAGTCCCTAATTTATCAAGCGGCAATTGCACTTAAAGTGATATTACATTTTGTTTAGGATATATTTAACATGCTGAGAAAATCGCATACAATGGATGCAGCTATGAAGTTTTCATGTTGAATTAGCTGGGCCTCTAAAGGCCGTTGCTGATATCTGCTTCTAGGGTGGCTCCTTTACCTAGCAGTGTGCTGCTTGATCCACCATTTTTTGTGCGCTCCTGTGATCGGCATACAGGGTGATGCATTGACACTGCCTGCTGTAACAGTAGAGCTGAATGACATAACATTTTATTCTAGCCAAATATTTTGCTTTGGAAAGTGGTGAAGGTTTTTAATGTGTCATTTTTTTGATGTCTCTGTCTGTAAAATAAGACTGTATCAGACATCCCAACTTTCCTGGAGGCTCGGGGAGTCTCCCACTATGAGATAGCGATCGAGCAGAGTAAACCTTTCCCTGCTCCTGTTTTTTTTTCTGACATCGGAGCCGCCGGCTGCCGTCAGTCAGAAAAAAAAAAAACAGCATAGGAATGCATAGCTAGATTCCTATTGGCTATTTTACTTTGCATTAGCCAATAGCAAACTAGCTATTGCATCCGCCCACTGCTGCTGTCAATCAGCAGAGGGGGACATGAAGTTCTCCATCAGGTCTTCTTCTAGTGATTGACAGCAGCAGAGGGCGGGTGCAATAGCCAGCTTGCTATTGGATATTGCAAATTGAACTAGCCAATAGTAATCTAGCTATTCATTCCTATGCTGTTTTTTTTTTTTCTTTATTCTAACGGAAGCAGCTGTCAGAAAAAAGAAAAAAAAAAAACTATTGCTTCTTTTGCTATCTGCCATCATTTCAGGGGGGTGCTCCTCCCTGAAATGAGAAGGGCACCTCCCTGAAGTTGCTTTTTTCGGGTTGGGATCACTGCTATGTTAGGTTTTCAATGTTGTCTGGCTGCTGGTTGAAGGATTTCCCTTTTACTTACTGTCATTGTTAAAGCAAGTGGCAGTACAAAGAGTGAGGGAAATGTTCCTAACAAAGACTCAGACAACAGTAACCTGACCTGATTTCTACCCTTTACCCACTCTATCCAAATCTTACTTATTGGAGTTGAATTTTAAAGTGGACCTATACAACATATTAATATAGGACTATGTTACATAGAGAATAAAAGAACTTCTTTCCTTTAGAAAGTTCTCCTGGTTGCCTTCATTTTCTCCAGGAAATGCTTGTGTTTCTTTTTATCTATTCTTGTGAATATTTGAGTATCTGTCCACTTCAAATATGAGTGCAATTAAGCCATCCTTCCTAATATCATCTCGACCCACTTTGTTTAGTTTTGGGCCCAGCAATCCTATAAACTACATCCAGTGCTGGCGTTAACATTAGTCTGCAGGTTAATGCAGGATGCAGAAAGGCATCCCTAGTAAATGGGGAAAACTCCTATTGACATATGGTTGCTGTATATTCAAATAAAGGCAGTGTGTAAGGTAGCCTGTTGTGTTCTAATCTATCTCTGAAAAGATGCAGAATGATTTGTTGTTGTCATGGAGATTAGGACATTACTAGCTGTGTGTCTACAGGATCTTGGGATGTGAATTCAGCTTTTTAAACAACCCCAGTCATTCTGTCCTTTCCACAATCACATACTATTGTGTGCTTGTAGAGGGAAAATGACATGTAACGTGTAAAGAGAGAAGCTTGCTGTTACTCTTTTCCTTTATTCTCTCTGCTAGTATTGCCTTATTTTAAAATTTACATACCATTATATCCACTACGCAGCCTTCTGCTATTTATGTTGTGTGCTAGAGATATTATTCATTTGTCCCACATATATTATATGTATTTTATTGCCTGTAAACTTCTCTTGATAGTTTATGGTTCCAATGTGCAAGTTTTTATGTTGGTTTTTTTTCTTAGCACTATTCGTGTTCTTAAACCTCCTCAACACTATGGAGTGGATTTACTAAAGTAGTTGAGAATGTTCACTTAACATAGAGAAAGTTTAATTGGCTTTGGATAATAAAGTGATGCTGTGTTCAAGTGAACATAACCTCACTTTAATCACTCAGCTAAATAAATATTCACCAAGCGAACATTTTCTACTCGGTTGTATCTATACTGACATTATATTTCTATGCTGCGTTAAAACCGTAACTTTAGCATACTGGTTTTAGTAGTTATTTGTTAAATGTTTAAAAATTCACTGGGTTGTGCATTTTTTTATTTTTAATTGTCTTTAGGATGTTACTTTCCGTTCCCTGTTTCCGAACTAATGCTCTGCCTTTCCCCACACCAATGTGTTGTTTAAAGACAGGCAAAAATAGTTGAAAGTGTTAAATTGATCACATTAAAGGCACTATACAATTTCTACTGTAGGTTCTACTGTAGGTTCACATGGACATTCAAAAAACAAGTGCAATATGGTGAACAAGCAAGAAAATAACAAGACAGAACGCAATTGCACTTGTTTATTAAGAAAAAGTTTCATCTATGCTGTGGATGACTGTTTATTGTTTTTTTTCTTCTTAATTGAGAGATTCTGTAATTTCGGCCATTCAGGAAAAAGTGTGACTGGTGTTTGTAAATAACTGAGCACCTAATAAGCTTACTATGTCCCAGTTATGAATAAACAGGAAGTGCTTACATAATTTCCTGTTCATTTGTAAGTGGGGACATAGTAAGCCAACTATGTGCTCTGTTTAGGAATGAATAGGAACACTCAGTCCAGAGGCTTTCCTGTCCATTCATAACTGGGAGAGTACTATGCCTCCTCAGTTTGTAAATGAACATTGATTCTGTTGCCTCAATCTCTTTTTCTATTTCTGTTTAGACCCCTATTATTTCCCTGAAACTCCCTAAAGTATATATATATATATAAAAAAATCAACATTTCCCATATGCAATTGTGGGTAGGAGTGGACTGTACATACCTATGCTTCCTTGAAGACTACTGTACACCCCAAGACAAATATTTAGAATAGCAAAACAAAAAGTGACAGACTGTTTAGAGCCAATACCACCCTTACACACACACACACACACACACACACATTTATCCTGCCACTCAGTTCCTCCACAGTCTAACCCTGTGTAAGGTGGTGTCATGGCTTTAACGGAGTTGGCAATATTACATCTTACAGCACGTAACAGTGTATGGGCCAGGCAATAGGCCCAACCAGTGCATTATGGAAGTAGTTAACATGTTCCCCCCATACCCAGAAGCACCAGCTCAGAGAGGCTGGAGCAACATAATGATGGGGGAAGCAGAATGAAAGTCATTATAAGTGGATCAGGTGTAGACTTTAAATAGACTTTGGCGCTTTGCCATGGCTGTGCAAAGTGACCAAGTATCTTGTCATAAAACCTTGTCATAACACAGTTTATTTTGCCCACTGAAAAGTTAATAAAACTGCTCTAGACAAGAACGTTAAAATAAACCTTAACCTGAGCAATTCTAACTTGTATACTAGTATCACTAGTATATGATGACGAAAATCATGAGCAGTGTGAAAATGAATAGTAGATAGGCAGTACAACGTATATGCAAATCTGAACTTGCCTTCACACCTTCTACCACCTGCATGCTCCAATTGGTAAATGAGGCTGTCGTCATATTAAAGCACCATTAATGGCTCAGGAAATGGGAGGGTAGGGCTAAGATGCGAATTTACCAGAAAAATGTAGATTTGTATCATTTCATCTGCCAGATCTACTGATCATTTTAATAAAGGGTTTTTACTCTTTATATGTTTTTGCTTTGTATACTCAGAGTTAAAGAAAGGCTCACCAAAACATAACTTGTTTCTGCAAATTTAATGCACAATTACAAGTGTGGCATGTGCGAATGTCTGGGCATACTTGCAGAACATTTTCCAATGTTTCTCTTTTTTTTGCAAGGTCTCAGCTAACTAATATTTTATGCCTTAATCCACTGTAAGAGGAGACAGTTCTAGACAATATATCCAATACCCATGGGCTTCTCTAAGTAAGTCAGTGACCTGAAAATAAATCATAAGCAGGGGAAAGCTATCTTATCATTTCCTGCTATAGCACTGCTTGTAGGCTGCTCACATATGCAAAGCTTTGACATTTCCAGGAAGTGCTGAAGCTTTTCCTAATCAGCACAGTCCAGACATCAGGTACAGCAAAGGCATCCGTAGGTGCATGCACTTTATGCCTGTCATCAATTTTTTTTTGTTAAAGTGCCAAAGTCACTTTAAGTAAATAACTAATGATTTTAACTCTGGGGTGGCACATATTATTATTGTGCTGGTAAAGGGAAAGATAGATTCTGCTTAATTTTAACAAACTATAAAAAAAGGTGCTGCTGTCAGTGATGAACTAAAGGAGAAAACAGGAATGAGATGACACAATTATCCACAATACACTTCAAAATCAACCTTGAACTACTTCAAAGCACAGAATAGTAAGGTTTTGGAATGGTTTCAGACAGGGCCATCCCTTTAATGAGGCCGCCTGAGGCTCTTGCCTCAGGCCGCATCTCTTTCTTATAAATGGAGGGGCAACAGACAAAGCGGCATGGCCGCTCTGCTGCACAAAGTTTGCAGCGTGCTTGCTGCCCCCTTCCCGATTGCTAAGATGTATAAGGGTCATACACATATCCCCGCTCAGCTCTTGGCAACCTGGGTCACATCCTGGCCGGCTTCCTGCCAGGCTCCTGGCAATCAGTGATGTCACTGGTTGTCATGAGAGCTGGGAGGGGACATGCAGGGTCTGCAGAGGGCGGTGTCTTGCCACCATGGATCCACTTCTCCCCCCACCCCGGCCGCTAGGGACACCACTGCCTTCAGAGTACCCAGACTTGCATATTGCTGTAGTTAGATCTCCAACATACAATGCATGTAAGGCAACCTAAGAATATTTATGTACTAAAATTTGTTCACACATTAAACAATTCCCAAAACACAAA